CTCAGAACCAATTAGACGACTTTGACTTCGCAGATGACCTAGCTCTCTTATCTCATGCGCACGAACAAATACGAACCAAGACAGCAAATGTAGCAACAACCTCTGCATCAATAGGCCTCAACATTCACAAAGGAAAAAGCAAGATTCTCAAATGCAACACGGAGAACACCAACCCAATCACACTTGATGGCGAAACTCTGGAAGAGGTGGAAACATTCACGTACCTGGGAAGCATCATTGATAAACAAGGATGATTGGGTGCAGATGTAAATGTGAGGATTGGCAAAGCAAGGGCAGCATTTTTACAATTGAAGAACATATGGAACTCAAAACAACTCTCAACCAATTTCAAGGTCAGAATCTTTAATACGAACGTCAAGACAGTCTTACTGTATGGAGCTGAAACGTGGAGAACTACTACAACCATCATCAGGAAGGTACAAGTATTTATAAATAGTTGTCTACGCAAATTAGTCAACATCCATTGGCCGGATACTATCAGCAACAGCGTTTTATGGGAGAGGACAAACCAGTTTCCAGCTGAATAGGAAATTAGGAAAAGACGTTGGGAGTGGATAGGACATACATTAAAGAAATCACCAAACTACACCACGAGGCAACTTGGAATCCGGAAGGAAAACGAAAAAGAGGAAGGCCAAAGGACACGTTACGTCGGGAAATAGAAGCAGATATGAAAAGAATGAATGTTAACTGGAAAGAACTGGGATGGATTGGCCAGGACAGAGTTGGATGGAGAGTGCTGGTGTGCGGCCTATGCTCCTCTACGAAGGGTAACAGGCGTAAGTAAGTAAGTAATAATTAAATTATCATCCTAATATAGAATTAACTTACAGGATATGACAAGAAAACTTTTCTACAAATAGTTAGTTAACTTCACTGAACTGATGTCACATAGAAATTAATTAGATCAAGTTAATAAATCTATAAACATCTAGGATACATTCTTCGCAATTTGTTGTTTCATATACACAATCTCACATTACAGTGATTTATTTTTTTAATAAATGAAGAAAAACTAAACAATGTAATCTACTGAATAATTCATAATAGTTGCTACTTTAAAAAAGGATCCTTAGTATATCTTAATAATAGGTAACTCAATCCATCACCTGTTTTTTTCATTTGTTTAAAAGATTTAAAATTCATAGTATCTATCTAATTGACGTTTGGTATGGTGAACGAAGTTCACAACAAAATATACACTAATTAAATAATGTTTTCAGTGTAGACTCTTATGAAGAAGCCACATAGTATACCTCCGTAATGCACTGATGAATTGTTTGACAACATAAGTTTGCTAAACAATATGTCACTGCATTGACAAAACATTCTTGAATTCACACTTTATTTCTGTTACCTCTTCTTTTTAAGGTTTTATTTTAAAAAGTTTAGAGTATGGTAAATTCAACATTTAAGATTGTGTTATTTATTATATGTTCATATCAATATCCAATTCTGCAAGTATAATCAATATTGATAAACTAATTTCGCTTTTAGTTATTAATGGACCATTATTTTATATATTTTTCCTTAAAGCTTAAAACAATTTAATAACAGCCTCCACAACTCATCGAAAAATATTTTAAATAATTGACCGCTAATAATAGCTACTATCATGCTGTCTGGTTCATAATCTTAATCAAATCCTATCTGCTAATTTCGAAAGCGGACATAAAGTTAATTGACCAGACATTTCAGTAAACTTTGTTCAGTATTATTTAGTTTTAAGCTGCTAACAAGAAGTTTAGGACCTAAGTTTTGTGGTGATTACCACTCGACAACAAGACGTATATGCAATTCACTGGAAACTAGTGCTCTCTATGAAATACTACTTTATATTATCCACGGTCATTGTCCTAGATGTTACAAATAAACTATTTGCCCTAATAATAATAGCTAATAGAAATCAGATGAACATACTAATTAGTCGCTTAGTAATAATACAACTCCAAATTCCATGGGGAGCACCAGTTCACCGAAGACTGTAAATACTTCTTTCTGATAATCGATAACTAACATGAAACCCAAGTCTAGGCATTGCCTGTGACTGTCTTCAACCACTTCACATTAAACATAATGTATATATTCAAAGTATACACTCAATAATTCTGAAATTATTCAAGCTAATTAACTTGTATTTGAACCGTATTACATAGTTTTTGATTATGTGATTAGAAATAACTTTTAGGTTAACTGGTAGCTAATATAACATATATATATATATATATATATATATATATATATATATATATATATATATATATATATATCAACAAATATTGCATTGACTGTATTGAATAACCAAGTTAAAAATATGTTTATTATTTATTAACAACAACAGTAGTGTTATTTTATTTGAATCAAAGTAGTTTCTATCATTTAATTACCTGACTTTAATCTATGGCGCCTCGAGTCATGCCTGAAGGTACTTTGAATGCTAGAGAAACGTGCAGATTATCGTGAGCAAAGAAAGCTGGAACGGAGCAGAACAGGAGAAGAAATAAGCCGATGAATCACTCAACACAAGTTTAATTTCTGTCTCATGAATATGATTTGAAACGTTGCAAAAATCATGTATCATTCACCTAATAAATACATGTAAAGGTTGGTTGTAATATACGAGCGAATCCTTCACTGTTATTATCAACTAGGCACCTATTAATTTATCAACACCTATCTAATTGGATCGCTTAATTGTAATTCTAATTCAAAATTGTTTGAAAAGTCACGTTACCAAACTGAAGAAAAAATACATTTATCATAATCAATCAATTTTAATGGGTTATATTTTCATTTATGCATATAAATATGCTGATCTATTATGGCTTTATATTAGTCCACTTATACACAGCTAAAGTTATCTGGTATAGGTAGAGCTTATATTTGAATAATTTGAGAATTTTTCCAATTATAAGATATATTTCTTACTTATGTTATTATCCTTTAGTAATTATGTTGTCGTTGAGAACTCAGTTGGGGACAATCAATTTATTACCTTACACAAAATTAGAGAATTTATTAGTAGAACCAGACATTGAATACGTCATTTGCAAATTTCCAACATTTGTCTTTCACATTCTGTATGATTCTTTCAAGTCACAATTATCTTTTATTTTCGTTTCTATTTTCACTTCAACTTGATCTTCTTAGCCTTCTGCTGCCAGTTTTTCACCTCTGATTGGTGTTACCTACTACTTCAATCTGTCAACATAAGTAACATACGCAACAATACAAGCAGTTATAAATTATATTTCATATCGTAACATGATTCAAAGATAAAATCTTGAATTGTGTTAAGCTATGAAACTTCTGTTCTAATGATACAAGTCTAATGTTATATCAATCAAGCTGCATGACGTAACAGGAAGGTAGACCTAAAATTGGTATGAATGACCCAGTAGTATAATTGATTGTCATCTAAAAACAAAGCACATGTTTAATCACCTTTTATTGAGTGTGATTCATTGTTCATTATTTACATCGATTAATATTAGATGAGTGAAAAGCTGGTAAACATTGGTTTACTAACCAATTTTTAGCTGAAAATGAAATAAGAGATGATACTTTATATATATATATATATTAGTTATTCCTGCCCAACATTGTTGGTGAAGCCCCGTGGCCCTTCAGAAAAAAGAACGCTGCGAAGAAAGAGCGACAAGGTACTGAAGAAAGCAAAATAAAAGTATTCATTTTAGTTCACTTCGCTGTTTTTTATGTGTATTCAGGGATTATAGTATCAGCAGTGTGGGAATATCAACTTGAACCACACTACGTAGTGCGGATGTATTCACTTTAGCCTACACTAAACTTTCCTATCACTTCCGGAAGCTTTTATATAAAACGAAAGCTCTGATTAACTATTATTGAATTTATCAGAGGAGAAACCTGAAACTATCCCCAAGTATGCTGCTTATGCATATATTCCAATGCAGATATTAAAAATACGTACATTACAGTGATATACATACATCAAATAGATGGGCGCGGTTGCGAATATGTGTTACATGCAATTCTAGAATGCGCAGGCAAGTCCACTCATCACACAAGTACACATAAGCATAGAAGTTTCTGCTCACAAATATATGATACATGCACACATAGAACGCATTAGCCGAGGCGCATGTACTCTAAATGACACATGTAGGTATGGATTCAATCACCCCAGGCCATGTCTCAGCAGTGTTTCCACTGAATGAGTATAGAGTACTGTGGTGTTTGTATGGACGAATGATTTCTTTATATTGATGACTGCTTGATTTTGAATTCCAAATATAATACATTCATTCGTGCTCATCTAATACTTGATTAAATTGCGTTGTTTCTGGGATTACTAGTTTATACTATAATTCAAATACTTCATATTATCACAAGTACTCAAATCAGTATATTAACGAGTCGTCATAGACAGTACGCTCACTACATGCTCACACAACAAGCATGTTCAATATCAATTATTAGGTACTTCACAAAGCTTTATTCCATGAGATTATTTGCAATAATTACTTCCGTCAACTGGAAAAGGATCACTAGAAATTTGAGGGTCCTGATAAGTTGAATAACTCTAGTTCGAAACTCTCAAACAGTGGACAATACGTAACATAAATATCGCCTGTGGGTAATGGATATAAATCTTAATGGAACGGTCATTCAATATTCTCTGCTTTCAGATATTTCTTAATTTTCGTTAATTCGTGATGAAAACCATTTTTAACTGAATAGATCCTAAGCTCGTAATGCAAAGACGGATTATGTGCAATTTCGCTTAACACCTTAAGACAAAACAAATAGTTGTCGAATTGCAAAAATATTGTGAACTATGCAAAGCATTTATTAACTTATTTCAACATATTTTCTGATTTATCTCACCGTTCCATCCGTTTGGTTTTACTGAGACATTATCAAATGTTAGCTTTTAAACTATAATGTAATCAAATGATGAATTCATTTTAAAACCATAAACTTAAACGAATGTAGTCCTACAGATTTGGATTAATATTTTTAATCATCTTGAAAAGATGATGATAATTAAGGTCGTAAAAACATGATGATGATGATGATGATGATGATGATGATGATGATGATGATGATGATGATGATGATGATGATGATGATGATGATGATGATGATGATGATGATGATGATGATGATGATGATGATGATGATGATGATGATGATGATGATGATGATGATGATGATGATGATGATGATGATGATGATGATGATGATGATGATGATGATGATGATGATGATGATGATGATGATGATGATGATGATGATGATGATGATGATGATGATGATGATGATGATGATGATGATGATGATGATGATGATGATGATGATGATGATGATGATGATGATGATGATGATGATGATGATGATGATGATGATGATGATGATGATGATGATGATGATGATGATGATGATGATGATATCAAACTTTTTTCTCCATTTTGTGGAGTAAACGTTTTCACTATTTTTACCGAATTAACAAGTTTGTTTATATGCATAGATTTGTTTGTGATAAAGATATGAAACATTATACATCAATCTCAATTAAAAACAAAACAATCAACCACTCATTGTGTATTCTCAGAAATCCGATTATTTCTATATTTAGAATAAAATATTCATTTTCTTTTTTTCCTAGTCAAAAACAACAATAAACTCAATCCAAAGTAAATCCATCTTTTTTTAAAAACTTGTATTCAAGAATTAGTAATCATAATCATAATAAATAACATTACAAGTGAATTGTTAAATTGTATTTTAATTAATTAGGCCGATCATATAAACTACGCATTATCTGTCTATGAAACTTCCTAATCGATCCGTTCCATTTAATTTGTAGATTCCTCTCAACAACAACAACAACAACAACAACAAAATTTCTATCAAAAACAGAATAACGATAAGATAAATATAGTTAAAATATCTCAATGTTGAATGTAATATATGTAGGAAAATATTCTTAAAAAGATCAAATGATCCCTTATATATTTGATTAAAAAAAGAACTAATCGATTTTATTGACATAATCAGTGATTTCGTTATAATCACAAGGGGTTTTGTGGAGATTTCAGTATTTTCATAGTTGAACACATGAGTCAATTGAAGCTAGACCACCAAGGAAAACCTGGAAGCACTGGACGGCCATTTTGATCCTATTGCAGGACGAAACTGCCGTCCAGTGTTTCCAGGTTTTCCTTAGTGGTCTAGCTTTAATGGACTGATGATTTCAACTATGAAAATACTGAAACCCCCACAAAAACCTCTTCTGATTATAATCATATGCTCACTAGTGATTGACTTTAAGAGATATTTCCTGGAGTTCTAGTGAGAAGCAGTGACCGGTGGAGTTCAAACCACGTCTGTTGTGAGATAGGAACTCACTGAAGACAATTGGTTAACGGTTGCTCAACTTCGTGGATTGGTTGAAGTTAGACATTAACACCGTTGGATGCCACCCCAGTGGTCTATCTGTTAAGTGCTCTTGCACAAGACTGGTAGGTCCTGAGTTCGAATCTCGCGAGAGCGGGATCGTGGATGCGCACTGCTGAGGAGTCTCACAATAGGACGAAACGGCTGTCCAGTGCTTCCAGGTTTTCCATAGTGGTCTAGCTTCAATTGACTCATGCTTTCAACTATGAAAAACTTCATAGATTTTATATGTTATTCAATGGGGTTAGAGAATAATTTTTGACAAATTATGTTTATCTTTAAACATAACTTGTCAACAAATAAAAATATTTATCTTAAATAATTATGTAATTATTGAAAACATATCATAACTTTAATCATTTAATGTACTTTTTACTCATCTAAAAACAAACAAACATGAATAGAATGCATTTCATTCGAAATTTGTCATGTAATGTTAAATTAAATGAAGTATATATATTTATCATTACACTAGATAATGATCATGCTTAGATAATAGATCGAATTCTACTGAAAATGTAGATGGTATGGTATGAAGTTAGTGTCTATCGGTTGTACATTCATCGCAAGATCTAAAATTCCACAGATCTATTATAGAAATGAATGTTAGTATGAATTGTAGATAATACCCAAACTATGACAGAATGGATCATTAATAGATAGTTCTTAAGTTGATATTAATAAGTGGCGAAAACTATATATTTGATTATCAAATGTGAGTTACATAGATTATTAATGACAAGTATGAGAAAAACAATTATTGAGTAAAACATTTATAAAATAACAATTGTAATAAAAGATGGATAGTGACTAGCAGTGCAATGGGCGTCCTGGATTCCACCGCTTATAATGCTTGTGAATTAAGGCTATATGGAGGCAATACGCACATTATGCACAGATGCCAATTAGAGACTGACCAGTTGCAGTCCTAAACATCAATAGGAAGATTCAAACAAACAATACTAAGTGAATTTAATAATTTTAATAATTGTAATTATCATATGTAATGTTATTCAGTACTCTCAATAATCGGAAATTTCGGATAAATGTATCATATTAAACAAGTGATATAAGATTAAACGTGTGTGTCTACTCAGAACTTTCTAACTTAATATTAACTTAGATGAGATAAGAGGATTAAGTTGTGTTTACCCGTTTACTTGATAGTTGATACTTGATAACAAGATACTTCAATAAAAATCATTTTAAGTGATTTTTAAAAGTGTTTCACTTGCGACTATTTATCAGCTTTTCCACGAGCTGATTCTGAAACTCAGCTCATAATCTCAATAACATTCAGTAATCTCCATAACATTTATACTGGTAAGAGGATATTTATTTATAGTTGTTTGATAAAATTATCTGAAATAACCTCAGGCATCGTCTGGACAATTCTAGTAAGTGTGCTTACATGAGTCAATGCGAAATAACCTACTGAGATGTCTCACCACTTATCATAAACAGTGTTACTGAACTGATAATAAATTTTAGGTAACATTCGATTACCTCAACAGACCACGATCTCTGCATATCCGACCAAGCAATCAAAAAATATGCGCAAATGATCTAATCATTGTTAACTGAATTACAGTTTTAAACAGAAAGTTTTCATATGATTAGTCCTTGTTTGCACTTTGTAAGTACATTCCTCCAACAAGTAGACTATTCAAGATTAAAAGGATGTCTCAATTTTATCTCAATAAACAAAGAAAACTAAGTTGACCTACTGTACATCAGTATTGTCAGTGAACTGGAGGATTGAATAGGTTGATCGTCGTTTCCATCAACAACCAAAACCACTTCAGGTGAACACAACATAAATATTTCATGTTCAAGCGACTTAATGTATAAACTTGTTGCTTATGTGAGTCAACAATAAAAACCTCACTCTCTATAATTTCATCATTATCTGCATCATAACTGATAAGACGGTGAAGAATAGGGTCCATGAGTTGTTTGTTTTATTATTCGAATTATTTCTGAGTGTTATTTAATTCACCAACGAACAGCCAATTAACTGTTTTCTCATTTGAATGAGAGTCGAGAAATAGTAACTTGTATTTATAGTACGTTTAGGAACCGTGTTTTTAATCTGAATGTTATAGCAAATATTAAACCTGTTGACTCACTGGTGCTCGAGATATAACCTTGATTCAAATTGTCTAATTATGTGATTGAATGTTATGACATACATATATTACGGCTTCTTTGTCTGAAACTTACTAAATTTTATTTGTATTGGTTGGTATTTTCTTGTTTTAGACACTAAGGAATCTGACTGATCAGTCTCCGATGAAAAATGTCAATCCAGGGCAGATGTCTTCAATATTATCACTTAGTCACACGCTTTTAATACACTTGCATATTGGTTTGAAATAGAACCCAAGATGCACGTTTCATTTTATTTGGAGTCGTCAGTTGAATGTTCCTGTATCCTAATGTTGATATCCACTCTAGGACTAGAACCTAGTACCTTTTGCTTCAAATGCCAACGTCTTATTCACTGAATGCCTAAAATCTATCTAGCGTGTGCTGAATAAAATAAAATACTCCACATATAAACACTACCAGTATAAAGTTAAAATTGCTTTCTGAGCATTCACGCGACAAACTGATAAATTCAGTGTAAAAGAGGTTGCTACATACTCAAACCTACTACCTCTCCTGAAGCCTAGGTAGCCGAACAGGGATCTCCAGCTAACTCTGATCTGGACACTTCTCTATTGTTGTCAACTTGTATTTATAGTCTTTATAACTTCCTGCGAATTCATGTTCCATATATATTTTAGTCCGTCTCTTTTTCCTCCATCTTGAAGATCCCAAGTTACAGATTGTTTTATAATGTACCTCCAGAGACCCATTTTAATTTCTGGTTTGTTCGCTTTCACAGTTCATTACTACCGACGATCTCTGGGCAATGAATCTGGAGTATATTGTGTAGACAACTGTTTATTAATACCTATACTTGCTTGATGATAATTATCTGATTTTTCCACATTTTAGCCTCGTACAACAGAGTTGTTCTAATGTCAGTGTTGAAATTTCAACTTTGATCTTGTGTGACATTTGTTATGAGTTCCAAATATTCTTCAATTGTAAGGATATGGTTCTTTTTTTGCCGATTCATTCTCTTACATCTTTATCAGATCCTCCTTCTTTATCAACGATTTTGCCGAGTATGTACATGTTTTCATCTCTTCCTGAGCTTCGCAATCAGACGTAATTTATTAGATGCTCACTGTGTTGTACTTAAGGATCTTACTTTATCCCATGTGAATCCTGAAACCTACTTCTTCAGAATCTGCTTCTACACTGGTTATCCCTGTTTACATTAGTTGTTGTGTATGAATTAGACGTGCTAATTCATCTGCATAGTTGAAGTTATTCACTTGGGTCCAAGGTGTCCGTTGTATTCCACGCCTCCCCTGAAACATAGGAGTCTTCACAATCCGGTCAACAATCAGAAGAAATAGAAAAGGTGGGAGTAGGCGGCTTTGTCTGATACTGGTCTTTATTTGAATGCATGACCCTTCAATTCCTCTCATCTTAAAAGTTCCATGTGATAGTGATGATCTTTACAGATACCCCATAGTGTTGAAGCAGACTTCATAAGGTTTCCTATGCAAACTGTCGAATTCTTTCTTCTAATCAGGGAATTTGGTGTACAATGGTGTGTTCCACTCAACTGATTGCTCAACAATGATTTGAAGTGTCACGATTTTGTCGGTATATGACTGATCTTTAAGATAGCCAGGTTGTTGATCTCTAAGTTGAATGTCCACTATATGTTTTATTTAGTTAAGCAAGACTGTTTACAAAACCGTTTACCACTGATAGTACTGATATCCGTCTACAGTTTTCATGACTACTGAGATTTCCATCATTCGGCATCTCGATACCGTATCTCTCTGTCTAATCTGCTATTACTAATTTTTCCTCTCGGATCTCCCCAAAGAAAAAATAGGACATCTTTTGATTTACCTATAAATCTGAATTCAGTGCCTCAGCTGGTATACTGTCTAGTCCTGTTGCTTTACTACTTTGGATTTATTTGATGGCCTCGACGATT